GGACTTCTTTTCCACACAACACTGCCAGCAGCTAATCATCTCACCACAGTGTCCACTTCGCAGCTCTTCTGGAGCTCATGGAAGGTGTCAAACGGCGTCTCGTGGCCTGTTTTAAATGCACCATTCTGGGTTTTGAGTCATTTTCCCAGAATGTAGGTCACTTCATCCTCCCTGTTCTGGACCAAAGGAAAGCCTTATTAATGCCGTTACCTTCCTGAACTTTGCTGCCTGTCGCCTCGCTCATCAATACCTCGCTTGTTCCAGCCGTCGGCTCAGATCCTATTTCCGGCTCATAAACAAGTTCTAATAAATGACCGCCGTGAAAAAGAACACGATCCCGCTCATATGCAATTACACTCCTGCAGACCCTCAGGCTTAATGATATGTGGACACAATTAGCACGCTTATTTTCCCTCGTACGGAGGAATTCACACATGTGCTGCTCTGTCAGACACAATGCAGCTGTTTTACAGGACGAGCAGATAAACGCAGTTTGATTTTTTTACTGTTTGAAGCCTGCTCAGGTGTTCTGTCCTTAAAGGGCCTGTTGGGCAACATTTATTCAGAAAGGTCTTGTTTTTTCATACAAAAGAACAAATTAGAGACGTCACAACGAGCCGGTGGGAGTTTATTTCGACACAAGACGCGACAATCTGTGGTTTTAGTGGCATTTATTATGGTGACGACAAACAGAATTCAGTTTATTTCCTCTTGTGTCACATTTAATGTCCTGTGCAGCCGACGTCACTGTATTGACATTAAACAACTCATTTTAAATTGTGCAAGAGGATTTTTAGGAGCAGAAATAATAATCAGGAGGAATAAATGTAAGCAAATAATTTAAAAAAACGCAATAATTCTGCAGCATTTTATATGTTTTAAGTAATGTTTGGATCTTTTGTTGGTCCACTGCTTTTCATTTTCTGGTCCAACTCTACAAACTAGCATTAAAAAAACTCAAGCTAAGCTAATGGCCTCGTGTCTGTAGCTCCATATTTAACGCAGGGATGTAATAATCAGTCTTCTTAAATAGTGTAGTTCTTAAAATGTTAAACTTTTCCCTCAGAACAATAAAAGTAATTACTCCTATAGCAGGCTAATTGAATGTACGCTAGAGAGTTTAGCGCTGAAAATGGTGAATTGATGATATATATGTATATTTAATGCAACTGTACATTAACAGAAAATAACTGTGTGTTAAAATGCTGTAATTTTCCATAAACCACAGTTTTTTTGTGTGTAAAATTCAGCAATTTTCCCAGAAATAAAATACATTTTCTAACCTTAATTTTAAATTTACATGTGCATTTTTCAGCTTTCTAATGTTTAATAAAGGAGAATTGACACACTTGTTGTTTACATATGGATAAAATAAAAATATATAAATAAAACAATAGAAGGATAGATTGATAAGTGATATATATATAAAATGCTAAAAACTGTATTTTGACACATTACCAATGCTTATAGATTTTATAAACTCATTTAATGTTTTTGTTGTAATACAATACGTCTCATTTTAATTACAGAACAGACACTTCTACGTCTGTTAATTAATTATCACTAATTGTATGTAATTTTAGAAATATACTTACAGTAGATTTAGTAATGTCATCTATTGAATTAAATTATTATATATTTTCAA